ACAAAACAAGCAATGCAATTATTGACGTCACATACAAACCAAAACAATTGAAGTGAAACAACGAACGCTGGTACGTAGCTGGTACTAAATAGGTACTTGCCAAAGAGAGCAACAACTGCAGTGATGTCATTTCTATCAAATTGGCTTTGATATTGCTGTAAAAACATACGTCGATTTTATTTGAATAAGCAAAAACTATTCCAAACAGGTTAAGTAGACAAACTTTCGTACGTATTCGTAGCAAATTTAACATTTTTTTAAATTTTTTATTTCAATCTCAAGTTCCAGGAGAGGTAAAAAATTTAATTCAGACCAACCTTTAATTTCCCTGATATTATGAGTTAGAGCAAAGATAATTTTTATTATTGTAGTTTTGACAAGTTGCTAACCTTCCGTCTGACGCTCGTCTAAACCGATCTTAGTCATTTTTTTAGGTGTCTGTATTCGGCAATGCTGGCAAGTAGCTACATTTGCAATTGCAAAAATTACATGAAGTCATTTGCATTTACGTTCGCAGCCGAGATATTCTTCTCTTTCAATTCTAGTTTCAATGCAACTTTACTTAAATTCGTCTGGCAGCAAAAAAGTAGACGGTGTTTTTAGTTCGTCAAATAAAGTTTGAAATACGTACTAAATAACGTCACACAGGACAAAACAATATATCACAAATTTGACATTTCAACGTTGAAAACTTATATTTCGGACAAAAAGCGAATTTTTTGTTTATACATTTTCAATTGTAAAATTGTGTTTTTTTTACCGTTTCGCCTTGTGAGAATACATTTTGCATAAATCCAACAAAGAGTACAGCAATGACTACCGGTAAGAAAAATTCTCTTGACTTTTGAAAAAAAGTACAAATCGATTGAAAAATGTAAATTGTATTATTTAAAAAAATCAGACATTTATGTGGAACGGCGTTGCTCGAATCGTTTAATTAATGTGTGGGTTGTAAATTGAAGAGATTTTTCAATTAAATTTTGTGAATACTCCGAGCCTGGGCTGTAGTTGAAATACAAACCAGACCACCTTCTATGGATATGACATTGTTTTTGGCTTGATCGTTATTTCAAACATGAACTAAACATGTTCTGTTTATGTTGTGTGAATCAATTCAAAAAATTTAATTCATAATTTTGACTTTTTAATGTGTCGCAGCGGTTCACAGTAGAACACAAAAGTGCTAACAATTGTCTTTGTGGAAGTTATTGCAAAAATCTGTTGGATTGAGATATATCGTTATGTTATAAAATATTGGGCCCAACCTTATATGTCCCTCACAACGTGGTGTGGTAGGGTATACCTAGTAAATGGAAGACGACGGAGAACTAGCAAAAATATCAAACATAGATGACAATTCTTTTCAATCCACATTTCAGCCAGTTGAATTCTGGCAATTCGCTAATGTTTTTACTCAGCTAAACAAGTTTAGTAAAAGTAAATTTGCCTTGAATTTTTACCAGATTTTCGGGTATATCAACGAGTTTTCAGTAAAATGTTCCAAAAATGGTAAAAGTATTAAATGTTTGCACGTCATGGAGCTGAGCTGATGTTTTCATTTTCCAGAGAGATTACAGATGTAGCTTGGACTTGAACCTAGCTTAACTAACCTTACTAAAGGAACAAAAGGTGACGCTAGTCCATGCTTCACACACATTACAATGCCTAGAGTAGGGTACGACCAAGTAGGCACGAACAATAATAATATCCAACACATGTAAAAACACAAAAAAATAACAAGGAGAACTGTAATACTAAATGTGACAGTTGCAAAAGAAACCATTTTTTGTTTTCAGATATATGTACTTTTTTTCTCACCACCCTACCCTATCCATCCGCCAACCACTCGATGAAATTTGTCATATTGTTGATACTGCCGTAGCTTTGTGAATGTTGTTGCATTCTAAATTTAGTCAAAGTCAAATGATTCATCATCACAGAAGCCAGAGGCAGGCAGTGTGTTGTAGCTAGGCAACCCACTGGCAATCATTGGCACCGGCAGACGACTACGATGCTCTGCCATATGTACGTACATAAGGTAGGGAACAACACATAAAAATCTTCATTGAATTTAATGAAGAACAAAACACACTCGGAAATACATACCGACCGTGCTGGCGATGATCTCTTCAACATCAAACGTTTTTTGTTGTTTTCGTAAAATAGCGAAAATAGCGGTACAAAACACCCCCATGTTTAAAATGTCACTGTCAGAGAATCAAAATTCCGCTTAAATCGAGAGTATAGGAAAAACATATGTTGTATGTTCTCTCCATGTATAAAATGTATTCTCTCTCATTGAATAATGAGTATCACAAATGTATGACATAATATTTACACTCAATTTGAAAAAAATAACTCACTTGAAAATTATGCTGAATAAAAACAGCTGACTGATTTTCCACATTTTACTCAAGAGAGAGTGTGTTTGTTATTATTTGTAGATGCGATTGTATTTGTAGATCGTTTGAACCGTGACTTTTGGACGTTTTTTTAAGTGTATCACCAATAGTGATGCATCAATGTAAAACTTAACCAAATCATTTTATTTGTGGGAGACTTTAAAAATACACTTCTTTTCAATTTCTAAGGAATAATGAAAAAAAAAAATGACTTCAGTATCCTCCGTTATAGGGAACCTTTTAAATATGTCTGTATAAAAGTGATTACGGGAAATGTCAAAGAAAATATTCATTTAAAATACAAATGGCCTAATCAAAAGGTAAATTCGTTTCAAATAAGCATTCCCATCTCTGCATTTTCTGTAACTGAGCTTGTTAAATACAATCGTTCAAATGAACTGCCACAACGAAAACAAGACTTGTTCATTTATATTTATAAACCATTCAATCAATTTTGTAAAATGAAATGTTTGTTGCAAATATTCAGAACGGTTAAAGGTATTACGTATTCGGCTCCATCCATGATTCGCCCAAAATGTGTCCCATAAATTGAGAATTTTCAATGAAGATCGCCCTTTTTATCCTTTGTTAAAAAACATACATTTTTTAGGAAAAACCCCGTACTTCCTGTGACATGGGGCTCCGAAGATTTCCAAATTGCGCATTTTTCTTTATTATTTCCAAATTTTGATTCGCGTAGCCTATTTTGGACATATCGCAGCGGAAAAAACCCCAAGGACAGAAGGGCAGCAACCTTACTATATTATGAAAATTTTGGCCAAATTTTAGAGGAGAACATTTCAAGTCCCATTCGAAGGCCGGCTTTTTTGTGCATAAATTGAAATATACTCTTCAAAATAAATACTAATATTTGCGCAAGTTCTCGGTCAAGTGTGAAAAGGGGCCATATCGGACCGCGTTTTCCAGCACCTCCAATTGTGTCTAACGTAAAGTTGGGACACAGCTCCGTTTGAAAAATTTTACGATGTCTATCCCAAAAAATATAAGAGTCACATGCTTAGGACCATCATTTATGGTCTTCTTCGGATTCGGGAACTAAAATATATCCATTACGACTTGCTTGCTTTTTTTGTAAAGAAAACATTTTCTTATTCTTTCAAAATCAAAATTTTCGTTTTTGTTTTAAATTTGAATTTATGAGATTTTAAATGCAATTTCGGGCATATATCTGCAGTACAAGTCTTCACCCGATTTGAAATAGTATATCATCAATAGATTTTTTTCAAATCAGATGTATTTTTAGATTAGGGAACAGCTTTATATATATAAAGGTCTCGTCCGATTTCGCATTTTACGTTCACAAATCCTAAATTTACTTATAAATTAGCTGGATATGCTTTCTAAGCGGTATAGTTGACCCCGACCGACTTGTATCCTTTCTTTAATGGTTTCTGGTTCGGTTTGGACGAACTTGATTTCATAATTATTTGCATAGTAGCAGATGATCGAACTTGTTGGCTGGCCATGTAACCCTCGATGGCTCGTCAGAAACATATAAAGTCTAAATCAAGGCAAAAAATTATGGTATCTGACAGAAACATGAAAGTATATAGAGAAGCAAAGAAATCTTCTTGTAACATCCTATTTTACCTGGTGTCGATATGCTATGAATGGAATGGCAATTTTGCATATGTTAAGAGGAATCATTTCCAGTCAGGACATCGATACATGATGATAAACCACATTCTGAATGCACGTCTACCATCTGAGAAATCGGACCACACATTTCATAGAGATCAGCTATATCAACTATATTTGCAGGTATTGTATAGGACATGCCAACACTTAAAAAATTAAACCAGAGGTAGAACAAAGCTGCCATTAAGTATTATCACTATATTAGCATTTTTCAGCTAAACCTTTTATTATCAAAAAATTACTTTCCTAACCAATTTTTGGCAATCGTAACTAGCTGCAAATCAACCCACAAACCCCTATTACTTTTCGAAATAAGAGGATATTTGCTTCATCTTTAGAATCCATTTTTCCACTTTCTTGTTTTGTCCGCTGCTGGTGTGAAATGAAAACCTTGTGATTTGTTGTTAAAGACACTGTGCCGTTGTTACAATTATATTAGGTGTTGTTTCAAGTCTTACATCTATAGCAATAATCGTATTTCGTTATGCTCGATCTCACAAAATTTGGTCTTATAGTCGGACGCGCACACTTTGTGCCGACATTTCTCATTACTTGGTAATGAATAGAATATGGTATCTTGTGTAAAAGCAACCTACTGCGTTAAGGATAACCCATTACTAGTTGGTAGTTGGCTTATAATTTGAAGAAAAATCAAAATGCTATTGACTGACAACACAACCCATGTTAGGTTTATTCTCAATTGGTAAACGTTATTGAGCGCAATGTTGACAACAACAAGTACAACAACATCAACAATTGAGTTGTGGGAAACATAATAATATAGAGAAACATAGAGAAAGACAGAGGAGCCACCGACGAACGAAACGCCAAAACTGAGTGATTGTTCGATGTTGGCTCGTTCAACTGACTGGTGGCCGCCGTAGCGTTGAGTCGGTTCACACACAGACCAGACAGATCTTGATGAGTGAGCGCTCCTGCAGCATCGTTTGTTTTCATTGTCAGTTAGTCTTAAAGATTTTGCGAGCGACTTTTGTCGCATTCAAGTTATTTCGGCGCGTGAAAATTCAAAGCCCATTTTGTGTACGTGCGTGCGTGTGTGCAGTTTTCTACTTTTAATTATTTATGTCTATTACTCGCAAAATTAATAAATAAATAAACAATAACAAAAATGACATAAACAATGAGGGCACTTCATGGCGAAAATAAAATTGAAATTTCGTTGGCAATTAAATGGAAAATCTCTTTGTATTTTTTTTTTAAAGATGAAAATATGCGAAACAATGTGTTCTTAAGCTATTTTTGTTGCTTTCGAAAGAGAAGAGAACCCGATTTTGTTACTTAACACAATGCCTAAGTGTTGTTGGATTTTCAAGTTTTTAACTTCAGTAATTGACCGTCTGTTTAAGAGCGAGAGATCTGATAACTTTTCTATTTTTTTTTTTTTTGCATTAACAAAACAAATATTCCACATTTGTTGACAAACGAACGATTAGCCAAAGTTTAATTGTTAACAAATGGAATATTAGAGTGGGGGCCAAGTAAAGCACATTATTCTGACATTTGTTTACAAAGTGGTTCGCCGTGTATGTGACAACACAAATACATCCATTATTTACATTTTACACGAAGGGAGCGGTTGTGTGTGTGCAGTCGGTCTGTAAAGGAATTTTTTGATACGAACACACTTATACCCTCCACCATACTATGGAGGGTATATTAAGTAACTGCTCAAAATATCTAACCACAATGCATAGTACATATTTTTGATCTGTATGTCGAGTTAGCCATGTCCATCCCTCTATCTTTCCGTCTATCCATGCGTCTAGACGGTAGACTTTGACAAAATGTTGAAAATGTGCCATATATGTCAGCCTTTAATACCGCCCCTAGAATTTTTTTTTTGAGTTTTTAGTCATATTTTTCATTTAAGGTCACTCCCAAGAATGCTATATGTCGACACTTATAGACAATTCCACAAAAGTAGTTTTTTTCCCAATGTTGGAGAGTACTAAAAGCTCGATTTGTTCAAGCAAATATGTCTTGTTTTTGTTTTCTAAAATGATGATTAATTTTTTCTTACGGAATGTAAAATAAAGCCCAGGTGGTTCGGCCCCCTCCGAAATGATAAATTCTAAGATATTTTAGGGAATTTTGGTTGAAAATCACTTTTTTTCGTTAAAGAGCTGAATCTCTTTTCATCGAGTCGTTTAGTCACTTTACCCTGAATTTCGATAATACGACGGAAGAAGTATTAGGAACTTGCTTGTTGTGTCTCATTTTGAAGACAACTTCCTTAAACCCAACAGATCTTGTTGAAGCACACACTTTTACCCTGCGATTATCGTGGATATTTTGAATTTAATTACCTCAGATGATGGGCCTGAACAGATGATTTCTCTTTTTTATCATATTGTTATAAGTCTTTTAAAGATACCAAAATAACAACCACCAAAAGGTGGTATTTGTTCTACTTCTACGGCCTGTAACTAGAGGTTTTCTGAGGCTAAATCGGTAGATCTTCCGAGTCAATTGAATAGTTGGGCCACAACTAGCCTGCTTTGTCTGGGCTGCTACCGTTCTTCAACTGCACTGGACTCGGGGCAATACTATGACGGTAATACTTCTCCACTCCGTAGTACAAGTATCCACGGACAACACTACTTGTTTCTTGAGATCTTTGTTCATACTCTTAATTTATGGCAGAGAGTTGTGGCGCGTCCTGCGACTTGGAATTATCTTGTCTGCCCATTTTTTAAAATTACAATCGATAATAATAAGATAGTTTGTGGAGATTTTTAGGATAAATACTGACGACGCCGGTGAATTAGTTCACATTAGGGTATGGGAGTCTTCTTGCGCAATATGTTCAATACAACGGTATTTGCCGATTTCAAATATCTTCGAGAAACAATGTATTTTTGAACCAAAATACTTGCAATTTCGAGTTTAAAGTTTTCTGAAAATGAAACGACGGTCCCTATTGATAACCGTTGCTCCAAAGGTTTCAGCGTATATTTTCTCTGTAGTCCTTCGCAAATCCCTCCTTGTGTAGCTGTATTAATAGTCCTTAACATGTTTTATTGAAAGTGTCGATAATTTTGCACTCCATAATCTTTGCACAGATATTTAATGTTAAAGGTCAAGGTTCGTGAATAGCCCAGCAGAAAATTGCTAATAAAGGTCTAGATTCTTTCTTGAGATTCCTTCCAAATAATTCGTACTGTGAGTTCAAAACGGATAACAGACTGTCTAATTTTGAAACATCACTAGCGTAAAGGTAACCAGAAAATGTTCATATCTAAGGAGAAGATTTAGCTATAATAAAATTTGTTCACTATGGAGGAATTAACAAGTTCGGATCGAATTTTTTCGTTTGACGTCACTGAAATTTCAAATTTATTAATGAACTTTTTGTTCTACTTGGTAATGAAAAACAAAACGTTTAACATATTCGGTCTGTCTAAAGTTTAGACTCCACTTTTCCCTTTTTCGTAAAAATTCTTTGATTCTTGCCTCCTCCTCCCCCATCCACATTTAAACTTCTTTCTTCACTTCTGAACGATGTAGTTAATTGAAGTTAATATGCTCAATGAAAATATGACAGCTGTGTCGGATGTCTTCTGTTTATCTTTCATATAATTTGGCAGCAACAACACCATCGTCATCAACAAGAAACTTCAACTCAAAACTATTGCGCTGGAGTTAATTGTTTTCGTAATTGTCAATTTACGGAGACTTGGGTAGATCGTTTCGGTGTGGCTGGTGTTATCGCAGACTGATTGCCGGCCACGACTTGGGCTTTGTACACTGTTGGTTATGCAGTCATTGTCGTCATTGATTAATTGTCGGATGTCAGCTATAGTTTTATGTGGGTCCGGTCACCCCGCATCCCTCCGATCATTCAATCATTTTTTTTTTATAATTATGGCACTCTAATAAATAAATTATTGACATGCAATGCATAATGTCAAAGTTCAAATCGGTGGTGGCGGTGTCTCACGAATCTGTGACACAGCCAAGTTTTGGCTTTGTTAATGATCATTGGAAATGTTAATTTGACGATAGCATTTTCGATGGAATTCTTATGCCACTGAATGATATTAAATGCAAAAGTTGGTCACGCAAGGTGAAATACCATGTATACGAACTTATTTCAAAAATCCGCGTGCCGTAATCGGCGCGGGTTTTGTATGAAGGAGTAGGTTTGGCACTTGCCTTGTTTTTTTTTATCATTCTGGATTTCATTTAAATCGGTTATTTTATAATCGCCGGCACTCGATTACCTTCATGGTGGAGAAAGACAGACCAACTGACGATGTAGACGGAAGTGCAAACTTCGGTTTCGTATTGGATTCTAATGCTTTCAAAGCGCTTTGCAATGTTCTCCCATAAAATAGGAAAACACCCTATGCAGAGGAAAGAGTTGCACTGGGATCCGATGTGGAAATCTTTTAATTTTTTTGCATTATCAGTTGGGCCCACTGAAATGGTACGTCATCAACAAGAAACTGCTTTCAGCAAAAGCTGTCATTACCAAATAATGGGTATTTACGTAACTGCATCCTAACCAAATAATGAGTATTTACGTAACTGCATCATAGGAAGTAATTACTTAACAAACTGCCACAAGGAGCAATGAATAAGTTAGAAAACGGTCGTTGAATTTGAAAAAAAGTTGGCATTTATTTGTTGGGATTCCGCAGTTATTTTGTTGTTGCAAAATAGTCAGGCTCAATCCCATCATTGTCGTTTTTAGAAAAACAACTTTTATTTATTAGAGGTGAACACTTCACATTTAATTTTTTGAATTGCCTATCGGGAGATCGCCAGTCAAACAAAAAACGTAACCAATTTTTTTACAATATGTATTTTTCCTTCTTATCGATGATTTTTATTCAATTTTATTATATCATTTGCAATATTTCTTCGAGTGTATATTTCATTGAGAAATCTATGACGCCAGACAAACTATTTTACAATCATTCATAAATCATCTATTTTTACTATCGTTCGAATCGAATTCTTACAGATTGACCGAAATAAATGAAATCCACGCCAAATGATGGCGCAGCACTATTTTTGTTTGGATTCTTAAATTTAATGTGACATCAGTTCATTTTCTGTTTAGCCATAAACTTTAAATCCATTGTAATTTTTTACAAAACCAAAAAGGTATTAGAATTCGTTGAGGGAAATACACCCAGAACTTGTAATAACTTAGAATTCGTTTGTAAAACCTCCAAGTTTAGAGGCGGCTTCCGCGTGGTGTCATTTCGGATTTGCAAAAAACGTGAATATTGTGCGTTGCGACACCGCTTGTCGATCTGGTAATGAAATGCAAACGTGGGTCGTGGAAATGTTGTATTTGTTTTTATGTGTGTGTTTTTTTAACTTGGTCTATAGTTTTTATTAGGCATTTGGCATTGGCCGTCGCCATCTTTCAGAGTGAACACAGGTGTTCCATGTTATATACAATAGAATAATCTCGGAGCGAATGAGCAAATATGTTCTATAGAAATATTATAATTAATATAGGTATAAAGATATTGAAACAGTAAATGCACGATGACGACACAAACACTCGATAGTGTAGTATATAGTAAAAAATTGTAGATTTTTTTAAATGTTGTGATATAAGAAGGCAGAAAAACTGAACCAATCTTACCTGCATCACTCATATGGCCAAAGATTTAAGGCTGCGGAATTGTCTGAATTTTCAGGTAATGGTGCCGTCAAATTTTTCATAGCATATGAGTTTAATGTCGAAGGTGGCGTGGGGCATCGTAAAGTCAACGTTGGCAGATTAGTGTTGATCAAACATGAAGGAAGGACAGTTACCCCAACTCGACATTAATCGCTAATTTGAAAATGCGGCATTTATATATATACTAGCTGAACCTGGTGTGATTTTATATGAATTGAAAATTTTATATACGAATATTTTTTGGTAAAAAAAGATAAATTCAGAAATATAAAAAACGTTATTATTTTAATACATTTATGCATACACAAATACCTCTGTCTACCAACGCGTGAATATGCCAGGAACAGCTGACCACGAGAAAGAGGGAACATGCCAAATTTAGTCCGCTTACACGAAGGGTTTGTCCTTGGGATTGATTAATTTTATAGCAAATGCCAAGCATGCTGAAACTGATTTTGAAGTTGAGTGGCATTTCTGATACTCAAATGTGTATTATGTCTGCAGGACTTTTGGTATTGAAAATGGGCCATGTAGGTCCACGTCTATGTATAGCCCCCATATAACGGTACCCCCGATATTCAGTATTTTGATGATTTTAGCGACATTATTTACCGGAATTGTTTCAAATTTAGTATTTGAAGTTCGTAATAGATACTACAGCATAAAACAGAAAATTGGCCATGTAGGTCCACTTCTTCGTATAGCCCCCATATAACGGTACCCCCCGATATTCGGTATTCTGATGATTTTAGCGACATTATTTACCGGAATTGTTTAAAATTTGGTATTTGAAGTTCGTAATAGATACTACAGCATAAAACAGAAAATGGGCTATGTAGGTCCACTTCTTCATATAGCCTCCATATAACGGTACCTCCCGATATTCGGTTCAAGTTTCGCATTTGAATATTGTAATAGCTTGTGACAAAAGTTGCCTATGCAGGTCCACGTCGTCGTATAGACCCTAATATACGGCTACATTCGGTATTTTTAAGATTTGAACAGAATTTTTATTGAATTTTTTTTTTTTGAAAATTGCCAAATTTGTACCAAATGGTGGAGGGTATTCGGCCGGGCCGAACTTACATCTTTTTTACTTGTTTTTGTATCAAATTTCTTCTCTCTGTCCGAATTCATTTGAATCGGACATATGTATGGTGTTGGTGTATCAAATATATGAGATCAGTCGAAAATATATATGGGAGCTATATCTAAATCTGAACCGTTTTCAATATAACTTGACAAATTTATTTTCGGATCCAATCCGATTACACATTCCAAATTTCATTGGAATCAAACATAAACATCGTGTTTGAGGCATCAAATAGACGAAAACGGTCGAAAATATATATGGGAGCTAATCCAAATCTTTACCGATTTCAATATAATTTTGCAAATTGGAATCGGGCATTAATATAATTTGATAAATAAATCGTTATACCAAATTCAATCACACATTATCTCCTTATATCCTAATCAGAACCGATTTCAATATAATTTGACAAATTTATTTTCGAATCAAATTCCGTTACGCATTCCAAATTTGTATCTGTATCTGTAATCGATCATTTTTTGTACTAAATTTAATCACTCAAGCCGAATTTCATTGGAATCGGGCATTAATATAATTTGATAAATAAATCGTTATACCAAATTCAATCACACATTATCTCCTTATATCCTAATCTGAACCGATTTCAATATAATTTTGACAAATTTCGATCAAGTCGCTTCTTTAAAGCTGTCGGACGAGTGGCTTAGAAATGAAATCAGTCTGTTTTTTTTATTTATTTATTTATTTTTTTGAAAAATCCAAGTAGAATCTCGATTTGTAGCTCGTTGGATGGAATCGACAGGTCGGAAAATCGACTTTTCGTTTGGAGACAAAAACCGAAGTCTAAAGTTCTGTTGGTTTCGACGACTTTATTACAAGACATTCCTACCAAATCTAAATTTGACTAGATTCGATTAGAGTGCTACAAAAGTCGCTTGAATATCGTCAAATATTTTGAAAATTTTTAGGGGACAATGGTGCTGAAATGTAATATAAGCTATTTTATGTTTGGTGGTATCTTAGCTTCACCTCCACTTTGTAGTGAGTACTTTTGTTGGCCAGTGAATGGTTTCTCTCTTTGCAAAAATTCGAACACTATTTCGAATGGATCCTTCAAACCCCCACCTCTCAATTAAAAATATTTCAATGGCACCAATGAATCTCCTAACTAAATTACCTGTGCTACATGCAAAGAATGTCTAATTCCACAATGTGGTGTAGCCCATATATAACTGTAATTTCTTATTATGTTATGTTGAAGTTTCAGCTACTTCGTTTAAAATCGATCTTGGAAACATAAGTTCACTATTTGATGTAGCCTCATATATAGATATAACCTGATTCTCTCTTTATTTTAGATTCCAGACAGAGTTTCCAACCGAATAGGCTGACAGATATGGGTTCTCAGTAAATAAAAAATTCTTCTCAATTGACCCAAGTTTCAAGATAATAGCTCTTTCAGTCAACGAACTCTGCATTATTCTATATGTACAAATATTGAACACTGAATTGAACACTATTATATTGGTTATTCCGTTTACCACGCCTCGATATATTTTTCGGAAAACCCATAAGGGATATGTATTCATGATCATCGTAGAATTCTATCTCAATTTAGTCATGTCCCTCTAAATAATATCATTACAAAGGCATACATGGTAACCTCCATTTAATAAAACTTTCAGAGGTTATTAGGCAGGTTTCATATGGATAAGATGTTCGACCAAACTTGATGTTGTTTTTTACTTTTTAAGGAAATATATTGAATAACACACATCAAGTCGTATAATACACTACCGTGTGTGTGTGTTCGGTAAATTTTTCCAATCACCATTTCGACCCAACCCAGTTGGTCCTTAATTTCTTTTATCATGCAAATCCATGATACTAACATTGTGTGTAAATAAATGTATTGTTTCTTTTTTTGATGCTGATATAATTTACACAAACAACATAAAGGCCACCAACGACAACAACAAAAAAAAAAAAAACAAATTGTACAAAACATAGAAACTTTTAGCATTATTAGGTCAAATCGACTTTTCAACATCATTATATCAGCCCACAACAGTTGCCAAGACTGGCATGAACAGGTCGAATCAAGACAGAGGTTTTCCGACAAGAATGTGGGTGGGTGTTTAGACCATTCTTAAAAATAAACTAATCCATTCATTCGTTCATTAGCCGCAGCTGGAGTAGAAGCTTTTTCGGGCATAATATTCTGACCAATATTCCCCTCCACGCCATTCATCCAGCCGGACATATTTAAGCGATTATCTAATTTAGGTTTGTTGTTTATTTGTGTTGAGGTCTCTTCTTGATGAAGCACTCCAAAGTGATTCGAAGAGTGTTTTATGTACGTCTGCTGATGCTTCTACAAAGAGCCCAAAATACAACTCAATTTCAATTTCATTTTCGCCAAAAAAAAAAAAAATTAACAAAAATTGTTTCGTACCAATTCCCCAAAATTGGTATGATTCGTTTGTCCGCCGGCCCGCATTTGTATGTATGTGTGTGTGTGTGTGTGAGTGCACGTATGACAACGCTCGGCCATAGTGAACGTTATTGCCATTTATGTGTGGATTATTGAATCGTTAACACCAACGTTTTTTCTTCTTTCCATTGGTATCGATGTGCGCGTTTTTTAGTTTAGTTTGTTTTGGTATTGATATTTGGTTAAACATCTCAACATCAACCATAAAAAGTTTAAAGACATCGAGCTTTAAAGTGTAAGAATTTTAAATTTTATAATAATTAAAAAAAAAACTAAGAACGACGAACTATTTGAGTCCTTTTAAAGAACGAAATGTCTGCAAAACTATTGTCATCATCATTTCATAGCACACCAAACGATAGCTTCAAGGTGGGCGAATTCGAAAGACGTCTAGGTAAGTCATGTTCGCCGACAAACTTAAATCTCCGATAAACACAAGACAGTGTGGTGATAACAGTTCCATATCAATGATCAAATTAATTTACAACTCCATTATGTGGCAAGAACGACAGTTGTACACCGTTGTGAAAGATAGGACACGTAAAACGGATATATTATTCTTCTTAAGTTCTAAACTAGCAATTAGTTTCAAACGAAAATAGACATTTTACGAAAATCATTTTTGTGGGACCCTACTAAGTGCGACGAGGGAAAAAATATTTTGCTGTGATCTGACTGGCCGAAATTTTCTGTTGGTACGATTTGATAGCACTAGAACTGAATTGGTCTGCGCTTTTCGAGCACTAGAATTGAATTTGTCTGCATTATCACTGAACTTTGCGATTATATTTATTTGTTTTTCATTTATGTATTTCTTATGTATACTAACAAAAAATACATAAGAAAAGTACATAGAGTGAAGTGGGGTCTAAAATTATTTTTTACTCCCTTCACATACATGGTATGGAGGGTATATTAAGTTTGTCATTCCGTTTGTAACTCATCGAAATAATCGTTTTAGACCTAATAAAGTACACATGTGTTCTTGATCAGAGTAAAATTCTAAGCCGATTAAGCCATGCTCGTTCGTCCGTCTGTTGTAATCAAGCTAGAGTCCAAACGGCATGTGATAGGAAGCAAAAATTTCGCATAATGTTGGCTTCGAAAATTTGCTATATCGCTCAACGTTTTCGTATAGCCCCCATATAATTTCAGGATTCCAACTTTATTGGTTCTCCCAAATTTAAATTAGTACCATTTAGTAGATTTTTAAAAATACCTACATTCCTTAGTCCCAGAATGCAATAGTAATCTTATTTCTAAATTTTAGAATTCCAGTTCTCTCGTTTCACCAAAATCGAAATTGTACCAAATTCGGTATTATTTGGTACTTTTCGTGCACAAAAGTAAACATTTCTAAAACTGCCTCCATATCCCAATGCTACACTCCACCATTAATTTAATTTTAAATTTCAGGATTCCAGTACTTTTGGTATACATGAGTACATAATTCCAAAACTACCTCCCTATATCAACTCTACTCCTCATCCTTATAGTACATTTCTATTATATTCGAATACCTATTGTGCGAATTTCCAAAAACTCTTTGGTACATGTATCATACACTCCATCAGTACCCGTAATTCCAAATTTAAGAGTTCTAGCTCTACTTCTTCCTCAAATACAAAGGGTACCATATTTAGTTCCTTTTTCATACTTTTTGCACTACTCTAGTACGAATTTAAAAAACCCAGCCTTTTCTGACCCCTTTCGGACCAAGAGTGACCTTCACTCAAAATTTGAAGATGTTAGCTTCAGCCGTTTCATCTGGGCGTTGATGAATCGTTAAGTCAGTCAGTCAGTCAATTACTTTACTCTTTTATTAATAAGGATTCTCCTATACTTCCACTCATATTCAGCTGTTCACCATTCTAGTAATTTTATACTACGTGATACCATACAAATTAATATCACTCTTAGTACCCAATTTTGAAAAAATACAAATCAAATCAAATCTATATATATAAAAGAAAGTTGTGTTAGTTACTACTACTTAAGAACCGCTTGACAGATTTTAACGATTCATACAAATTCGGAATTGTCTCCTGTCCGAAAAGGATAATATCCAAAAAAAAAGTGATGTATTAACATTTTCATTTTGACTTTTGAAATGTACAATAGTAATGTTTTATTTTGCATGATTTTTTCCAATTTTGACTTACTTTTTTCTAATGTACATTTATAGTGTTTTTTCATATTTTATTTTAGAATTCAAATATTAATACTAATTTATTTAATTGACTTGATTTCTTGAGAACTGAAATTGATGTCGGGTTACGTAGAAGTGTAGTACCGAATTATGTGGTGGCGAAACGGAATAGATGATATCGAAATAATTTAACGCGGTCACACCAAAGTTAAAAGATAATTACTTTTTCAAAAGTGGTAAAAAATCAAGAAAAAGAGATCTCATTGCAAAAACTCTCAAATCGGGGAAAATCGAAAAAAATGTCAATGGAATCGAATTTTAAAATAATAGTACATTCTATTGACAAACTTTGATCTTTAAACATTTGCTGGTAAAAAAAAATCAGGGAACAAGTTGAAGATTTTTTAAATTTGTTATTCTTCTTTTGTCATTTTTTTTCAATTTGTATTATCACATTGAATTCAGTGTATTTTTTGTGAACTAAATAAAGAATAATTTTTCACTATATACATTTTTTCACCAAAAAATGAAATAAGTGTGAAATAGGATGTTAACTGACATCTACTTTTCAACTCCAGGGCCTACATCGCAGTTCAGCTGTAAGATGCGAACACATTTAAGCAAACAAAAATGACCGAAAAGGCTAATGTGGCTCATTTCAAAGCGTGGACCTACTTCTTTCATGTGACAATGATCCGTCCAATGAGAGCTCAAAATGCAAAATTCTTTGGGAGTGCAATCAGTAAAATACCAAATATAAAGGGTGCAAAATAGTAGAGCGAATGGGAGTCTTAATAAGAAAAAAATTTCTATCCTTCCAGAAATTCTTCCCAAATATTCAATATACCTTAAATCGCTTTTGCAGGTCATGATATCGATCATAACTCATGAATTAGGGTACAACCCGATTTCATATTTATATAACCATCGTATGATTTAAGCTATTTTTGGGGTCTTGGCCACTTTTTTCATTTTTTGGCCCTTATTTAGCATCTTTGTTTCTAAGGGGGTAGAGAACCTCTTCGCATAAAATTTGAAATTTTTGATCTAGCGGTGTCCGTCTGTCTGTCCGACTGGCAGGCTGTAATTATAAGTCTCATTAAATGCGAAAAAACTCGAACGGAAACTTAGATCGAGTTTGGAGATGGGCAATATAGGTCCACTCCTTCTGGTACCTCCCCCCAAAAGACCCCTCATAGAACAAAAAGGGATCATCCTATTTTGTTCGAACTTTGCAAATCCTAATATTTGTATCAGTGCTACGTCAGGCGGGAAAATTGACAACATCGGCCCATTAGAAATGGTCAAAATTTTAAATAATCATAACATAATCATAAAATGTGAACTGAGAGTCCGGCATATTCTTTTGTAGTGGATGAAGGATTAGCGGTACTCCCCAACAAAGACTTAAAACTATGACACATTTTAACGCTCATAAGATGCAAAATAAACATACGATTCTTTTCAAGCTTCGCACATCCAAATACATCAACAAACTAAAGATCTGTTGGGAAGATGGTATATAGCGGACCTTTATTTCAATCCCCACCTCCACAAAGGTTCAACATTTTAAATTACCATGACCCTCATGAAACGTGATATAAGGGTATCCGACTCTTTTCAAACTCAGCTAATTCTAATATTTAATACTTGGTCAACTTCTTCAATAATTATAAGTCTCATTAAATGCGAAAAAACAGCGATTTTCTTCAAACTTCGTGTATCTCAATATTTCTCAATATTTCTGCCATAGCTTAGAGTGAGAGTATACATCTGTCGGCAAAACCGACTGACACTTTTTCACTTGTTTTCTTTAAACTTCATATATATCAATATTCCTATCAATCAATGGTTGGTCCACATAACCAAAGTCAAAATATAGTTACATTAATGGGCAAGAGACAGATGTCGGTAAAACGACTGATACTTTTAAATTTGTTGTTTGGAGATTTTTTTAGTCTGGTGAGGGGTGATAAGTGTAAGTTGTTTTATCTTGTATGTTTGTAAATAAGTCATTATTTTTGAGCTTCCTGGTAATACAGAGGTTTTGTAGGTATGTAGTTGTCTTACTGGTTATGCTGAAAGTGGCGCATACACCTGTCAATTTTTTGCTGGGAAATAATTCGAAATGACAGCACCGTTTCACTCGCGATTGTACTGTTTATAGATTGAATGCGTCGGATTTTTATAAATGTGTGAGGTCAAAGCGAACTGATATATTGTGTTTATATTTTGAAATAAATATCTCAAATATTTTTTGGGCTTGTTTGTAAAGGGTACACAACAGTTAACCGCATTCACGTAAGCAGTAAGGCATTCTTGTGAAGACTTCTATATAAGAATCAAGGAATCAAGCTTAAACGGTTTAGCAACTTTTATTTTTTGTAATTACAAATTCAATTTATACACACTGTCCGAACATACGTCGCATTGAAAACTGAAAATACGTTGCTTTTTCTATTTGTACGTGAATTTCTTTCGATAAGACAGCGTAGAAAACGTAAAAAAACAATTGAAGTAAAAAAGATAAAATTTTCACTGGATTGAGAGCTGCATTATCAGGTTCTCTCTCTTTCTCAGCTGATAAGCGTCACCAGTCGTTATGTTTAGTAGTAATATTTAGTTGGCCATTGTGTAAAGAATGTTGCTTTTTTCACAATAGAATCAAAAGGGAAATTGGAATTCCATAGAATTATAGTTATGAGTATACCAGGCGATTACGACAATCTCGGTATTTTCATTTTAATTGTCCTATAAATAGAAAATAACTGACAGCTATTAACTACTGATATTGAAATTATTATTAATTGTGTTCATATTTGCTTCTTTGTTGCAGATGCATTACTTGCCGATTTGCAGAATAGTGTTCCCGGTCATCAACCGCAACAGTATGGTACGACAACACAAACCATAACGACAGTACAGCAACAGCGTCAAGTACCTCAGCCACAGCACAATTACATCGAATCATCATCGGGCTATGGCAGTCTTCGAGGAAAGGCTCCCCCAACCCAGGTATGAGTGCGTCTGTTTGACTTTTAGTGAATAACTTATAAAAGAATTCAATCTTTTGTTTATTTAAATTGCTGCCATCATCGTCGTCGCTGTCGTCGTCGCCGCCGTAATCATCTTTAGCCAATCTATCAAGAGCATTATTCGGAGACACGTACATCGGTATCGCCATCTGGCGGCTACAATGGCCCACTCAACTCCACATCTAGTCAGTATCAAAATCAAGGAGCCATACCACGCCAGCCATATAATGGCATCAATGGAGGTGGCCCTTCACAACAGTTGAATACGGCGAGTAATTTATCCGAATTGGATTCATTGTTACAAGATCTGAGCAGTGCCCGATACAATGGCAACGGTTACGACAGGAAAGGTTAGTAATTGAGTTGATTGAATAAGTCCACCACTTCAGTACGATTAAACTTCATTCGTATACAGGGTATATACATTTTGCATAATTGAGAACAAAAAATACAAAGCTTGAAATATTTTTATATAGCTGGGTGTTTTGGTAGTACCTATTTTGAGAGAAAACGCCTGCGACAACTGGAACATCAAACTCCAACACTATGTTACACGGTTGCATATAGTTTAAATTAGCAATTAGCAAATCCAAACGTTTCGGCAATTTTTGCCTGTTAAAATAAAAATAAATCGTACATCATAATCTAATACCTGACGTTCTGTAAAAAAGCTAGGACAAATTAAAAAATATATAGATTCTTTCAAATATAGTCCAAAAAATAAATAAATAAATAAATTCTGCATCTTTCAATTGTTTTAAGTCCTAATGAGACTAGGCGAATTCACTTGCGGCAATTTTATTGTTCTCTTTCGAACTTGCCTCATGTTCATGCAATTTTTCTTTTTCATTATTGCTAATTCTGTTATTGTTTTATATATTTTTGTATGATATTTTAGAGTGTTGTTGTTCGGGACAACGTAGTTATTTTGTTGCTACAAAATAGTTAGAATCAATCCCATTATTGTTGTTTTTATAAAAACAACGTTTGTTTATTAGTGGAGAAATATCGTAATGTTTACTGGGGGTAAAGCAGGGAATACCATGGTTTAGGAAAAAGCCACAAATCCTCATCACTTCCCTTGGTTTTTGTCTGGGGATATTCTCTCCAGGAGTTATTTTAAAATAACTCCTATATCAAAAAACATATGATCTTCGCCTTAACAAGGCAAAACTCATAGAATATTGTTGTCAGATTTTCTTTAACAGGGTAGGAAAATACAAAATTGCTACCGGAATATAGGGTTTTGTATAGATATGAACGGATATTTATTTCTACTCTCGATTTTAATAAACTTCGAAATTCCGAATACACAAGAAATATACTAAATACTGTATCCACTCTGATCATTTTCTGCTGTAAGGCTTCGTATCCTGTCAAAACCTAAAACCCTAAATTATAGATATTTTGGTCAAAAACTTAAAAATTGTTATAAACAGTCCGTGTCGATTATTGGACATATGACTATGAACTACATAGTTTCAGTCGTACATATTTGGACAGATATATTGTAAACCCCCATTGCCAACTCGCCGGCGTATTTATTTTCCGTTTAAGTTAATTTAACCCTTCGTCATATTCAATTTAAGAATAAGATTCTAAGTCGATTTAGCTACGTCCGTCCTTCTGTCGTCTGTTAAGACGTCTAGAGTGAAAAACTACAAAAAGGTATTTCTTGATTTTCAATATTTGGAATATTTCAGTCACAATTTTCTATTGATTAAGTGTTATCTTAAATGTAAATTTTCAATAGCCCCCATATAACGGCTACATCACATTTCGAATCTTTAGACGCATTTTTCAACGAATTTGTTGTTATTTGTCGTTTCTAAGAGGATATATAGATCCTACCCTCCATTTGTCGGAACCACATGATCTTTGGGATTTTAAAGGTTTCAACTCTAATATTCAACAGACTTAACTTTAATTTGGCAATTCTGACATTCTAATTGAATGAAAATGCATTATACGAACATTTTTTACTGCTTTGAAATTAAATTAAAATAACAATGTGTCCAATTTTTGATAATGTAGCATATAAAACCAGTAGAAAACTAAATTTTCAGTATTAAAAGACAAGTAATAGTTTGTAAAGTTTTCACACATGTTTAAAAACTAAGGCACTGCCGAACTTAACGCTTTTTTCCTTTATACCATTTTCACAGACTCCAGGTATCAAAAGCATGTTGATTTTTTCCAACAATAGCTTGGCTATGGATCTTCAAAAGGCATGTACTTTTCAATTGCGATTGTAAATCATGTACTATGAATTCTAGTTCTATTTTGTTTGTCAAAGTCGTTGAAGTAATTCCAAATCGATATTATTAATATGTATATCCAATATATATTATCCAGCCATATATGCAAAAAGGATGGAATCATACATTTTCTTAAAAAATGTTTATATGAAGGAAATATTTTTAAACTCCAATTAAAAGTAAGGCCGAGGTAAGAATTGCAAAGGCGACAGATAGATTCTCAAAAACAACAGTCATTAGAAAAATACTGTTGCCAGATATTTGAAAAGTACTTAGATTCAAGATTAAGCAATCAGAAGATATCGTAATTTTTTTTGGTTACCAATTTATGTTCTGTTCCAGATCCTGCAATAATCTACTAGTTTTGCAATTTTTTTCGATATCATGGAGGGGAAATCGGTTATTGTAGTCGAAACTCTTACATTCTTGCAGTTCTAAAACAGACCATTTATTACTGACAAACATTCAAATATTTCTTTTGCTATCAGAATATTATTTGGACTTTAAATATTTTATGCTTATTTAGTAATTTGTATATTTGAAATAATTACAGATAATTCCGGACCTCCAGGATTCCATAGTACACCGTCTTCCAAATACAATACGTATAATAGTTATGCATCCGTAGAAGAACGTCCCACAGTTGACAGTCTATTGAATGAAATGGATAACGCTTCGCTGTATGCCGTTCCGAATGGGTATGTTTATTGATTTTATTCAGTTATATGATATTAGACGATAACATTGTTATCTCCATACAAACAGAGTTCGAGGCAAATCTCCAACTCCGGGTCGACATGTTACTATTACAGTGCGGGAAACAAAGACAGAGAACCTTGCTGGACCGGAAGGGCCAGGTAATTATGAAATATCTGTTAAAACGATGTTTCCTACTCTTATAGTTTACATTTTTTTGCAGTGAGACAAGTTGAAGAAAAGGTTGTTAGACAAAAGGACTCGTTCACTCCCAACAATTCATCACACCAAGCCTACGCCTCGTCCGCCACAAAAGAATTGGATGATTTAATGGCTTCACTTTCAGACTTTAAGGTAAGTAATGTTTGGATATATATAATAATTAAAATTCTGATTATAAACAATAACCTGTATAAAAAGGTTTTTTTGCAATTAAATTTAAACTAGACCAAACCATAGTTTGGAATTCGTTTTAACGAAAACTGTTTCTTAACGCAAGGAATAGTAAAACTGGCGCGCAAATTTAAATAAATATTGCGTTCTTTTTTACTACTTTTTAATAGACCGAGAAAAAGTAGTAGCATGATTGTTAGTTTCTGATTGGCTGATATGTGGACTTTAGAAAGCAAGGGCGGAACTTACATTTCTCACTTTTACTAGTTTCATCATTAAAAAGTTCAAGAACCCAACAAATTTGTGTCATTATTTTAAGTGGGCTATTCTAGAATGACGTTTGCGAATCTTATGCAACTTATATAATTACTTGTCGAAAAGCAAATCTCAAGACTCCTACGACTACTTTGATATAACCCAGTCAGCATTTTTTGAAATTTTTAATCACATTCGAGTCTTTTTTGATCCGGTCGCGCGATTAAAAATGTGGAATATGCGCGCATTTTCTGATCATAAAAGACACATTTGTCGGGAGAAAAACGTGACCTCCCGCGACTCTTCTTAATAAATCACATATGAGTCTTCCTCTAGATTAGTTAAGAGTCTTTTTCGGCCATTTTCTGATCGTTCTACGAGTCGTTTTCGAATCATTTTTTAATCATTTATTGTGCTAAAACTTTTAATTTGTGAATCTTTTTCGAGTCTTTTTAAACTCATTTTTTGATCAGTTAATGCAGATTTTAGAAATATACACAAAATATGATTATGATTCACGAGAACGGCATCCATTTTATAACTGCTGTTAGCATCCGCGACTTGAATTACTAGGTTATCCTATTAGACCAGCTGATGGTAACTTGATATGTAATTTTAATTCGCCACATTTATGTACATATAACACTGTTGATAGATTTGAAATTTTATAAAAGGCAAATGGGATTAAAACGAGAAAATCGAGGCTTTTTTATACATTATGAGTTCCGAACGAGGGCCATCTTAAGAACTTTGCATGATTCAGTTGGAAAATGCGACTGAAATATTTGAAACTGAAATTAAAAATCATCTTTATTTAGTAGCTACACCGAAATGTGAACAATAATCGGATTTTTTGGAAGGTATAAGAATTAAACTTCCAGATGTGCCCATAAAACTCTTAACATTATGCAATCTGAATTTTTAAAATAATTAACTTCAATGGAATTCTAGGGAAAGTTTAAATTGAAATTCTAGTTTTGTGTAAAAACATTTAGAGTTTTTAAACAGTTGAAACTGAATCTTGGATTTGTCTCAACCAAGGCTTTGATCAATTTGGATGCTGCTCCCAAACTAAATTGTTAACCGTTTCAATATGTGATAAATCTAAAGTAGTCACACAAGCTTTTATGGGATTACTTGACAAAATAGTGACAGCATCAAATACTCTTCATTCGGGGAGTGATTAATTTTGGACTAAATTGACCAGAGCTTTGTTATAAAATGGAAACCAAATTTAGCATCACAAGTCACAACAACGCACAAATTCTGTGTAATATTGCAATATTTCCAATTTTAATAAATGACACATATCAAAAGTGTTTATATCTCAATATCTAATGTTCTGATTGGTGGAAACTTTTGCTTTAAATATCGTATATCAAGTAAATTGGCTTTGTTTAAAATTTTGACATATCACACAAAAGTTGCTTTCGAATTGTATTTATCAGCGTGATCTAAAATTGGATGTACTCGGTCGACGTTTTTCTCCACAGAATTGAAGTACATGTATTTATATGCATGTTACCGAAATACGACGAGCGTACAAAATTTCAAAGTTGAACCATTTCAACCGTGGACCAATTATAAGGTCGACCAGAAAGCGAATTCGCAACAAAATTCAACTCTTCATATACATATATTATCAAAATGTGTAATTAGAGTGACAAAGAAAATATTTCGCCTCAACACAAAAAAAAACATTGCAACGAATATCCGATTTATACATTTTGGCAATACATATTTAAATAATGTGGTAAATTAAAATGAAAATAAACAAATTTTTTGTTAATTTGTTAAGATTCTATTGAAAATTAGCAATTGTTACAGAAACATTTTTTATTCTTTGGGTGTTTTCGTTTGTCCTGAGTTGTCCATAGTCGGTCCTTTGGATTCACTTCCAATAAAAATAAAATGGTGGTGTTTTTAATCAAATATGTAGCCATCTTCGCTCTCTAAAACATTTCGTCCCCACATATGGCCGTCGGAAGTTTGTAGACTTACATGACCGATAAAACCGATAAAATTGTATCACAGTTACCGGACATTTTTCAGAAAATTCCATCCAAGGATTATTCTTGCTATGTTTTAGGTGTGTCTTTAGCTTTCAGTGGGGGATCTTTTTGAGACATAGAGCCTTCTCCCAAGTAGAATATAACATAATGTCATGCTGAGAGGAATTTCAATCTTAATTGACTGGAAAAAATAACAATATTAGCATTTCAAACTGAATTTAAGATAATTACTGAAATAAAAGTCACGAGAATATATAAAAGCTAATAAAACGTTTGAAGTCTTCCTTTGATTTCTCTGGTGTTAGATTTATTCGTGTCTTAAAAACGTTCATCCAATGGTGATTTTGAGACTACACAAATGAATGAAATCATAACTGATAATAACGTTGAGTATAGATTTTGTTTACTTACTTGTAGCTGCATTCTCCACCTTGTCTGTAGCTCTTTATACAATATCCAAAACAAAAAAAAAAAAAAAAACAATATCCAAAAAGCCCTCATTTCTTTAATTTCCTATTTTTCAGTTCATTTTCAAATTAAAATTGTTGGACTAAAAGGGACTAGTATTACTAGCATTTATTAAAGTTATTGACAGAAAATGTAGGTATCAGCTGGGCTTACTTGTCGACCTTATGCAAGCCACACACGATACAACCGTTGTTACAACTTAGAGGGTAGCAAAGTTGTGTGCTTCGGCCACAAACGATGCAACTTTGTGTACAATCTCTTGGTACAACTTCACTTTTCGTAGATTTTATTCAAGTTAAGATGACACCGGAAAAAATTCATGTTCTATAAGTGACTCAATAGCCTTTATTTCTTATAAATTGAGTGGATTTCATGTAGTTTTGATATGCGAAACAATGGTGTTGCCTCTTCGAAAATAAACACAAAATGAAATTGTATGCGACATACCCACAAACGTTACAATCGGTTGGTACAACATGCTAAATATCAAAAAATTTTGAGACACAACTTCGTACAACCGATCCACAAACGATACAATCTTGAATACTATCTCTCCAAGTTGTACAACTAATTGGGCCATAATTTCAACCAAGGTAGAAATATCAGGTAGCAACATAGGCGATAATTACAACAAAGCAACTTTTGTCGGAACTTGATATGTCAAAGTTATAATCTAGGCGAATTGTTTTGAAGTATACAATTTGGGGCAAATTATTTCATTCAAACAAAATATTGAATGTAAATATGTTCCTAATTTTTGTTTTTCCTATCAAAATTGGAAACATTAGAAAATATTTATCAGCATCGATTGGAAATTCTAAGTAATGCTAAAGCAGAAGCAGAGAACGTTTAATTACAATATGGTTGAATAAGCATAGAGACTGTAAATTTAGTACTCGCCCATAATTTGTAGACTTCCGCGTGCAAGCGAGGGACTTTGAAATTATACATTTTTAGTCGTCGCTGTCTCTTCATTATCCTTACACAGTGTGCAGTTTGTGCCGGTAAAGTTGATTTCTTCACAAAGTACTTCACAAGGATATATCAGGCCAAATTGGTGTTGATACCTTAAAATTTGTTACTTTTTTGGATTGTGCGTTATTTTTTGCTAATTCTTCAGCCTGTAATAAGGCAGGGACTAGGAACCTATCAGAGCAGTTCACAGGTACCTCAGGGTTATTTACATTTCAGAAGTACATAAAAAGGTACAGAGGCCTGAGTCTATTATTAAAAAGTGCGGTATGTTCCAAGCAAGTTGTCTTCGACAAGATGAAGTTGATAGCAGCAGCTATTAAATATAAAGCACACTTGTAGGAATTCGTTTATGTATAGATAACTGCAAGTTGGTTTCTAGGGTTAAAATACATTTGGGAGTTGAGGTCAGTCCATCCCGTCAATCTTTATATACTCTCAATTTATTTAGTCACTCCCCAAAAATTGCCAATGTTCTGCTCCCCAAACCAACCAAATTAACTTTGGTTTCATTCACCGTTGTAATCCTGTAGTGCATTGGTTAGAAAACCTTTCAATAAATTGGATGAATTTCCACGTATGGGTTTGTCTCCTATATAAAGTTGCGCCCATTTTTTTAAACTGGAATATTTTAAAAATATTGCCCATGTTTTCTTATGTTCAACATAAACTTTTTTCCTCAAGTTAAACTCTACATTCCGATTTACTGGCAACTGCATTGTTAAATTTTAAAATCATTTGAAATTTTTTTATGTGTATGTTGAATTCAAATTAATTTTTATTTATTTTTTTTTTTTTTGACATCTGATTTTATCTGATTCTTGCTGGCCTGAAGGGAAACCTTCTTATTCTACCATGATTTAAACATTGACAATTAAACAATCTTCGTTTTTTGTGTTGAAACTATACACAAATAATACAAAAATGGAAATCTATTTTGACAGTTTTAACAAAATATCGCAGTAAGCATCCAAGTTTTGATAAACTTTTTCTCCGCTCTCCTAGAATCAATTTCCATAAAATTATTATTTTTGTAGAGATATGATTTTTAAGTCTATCTATCTATATATATAAAAATAAATTGTTGTTTGTTGGTAACGGAATCAGTTGGAAACGGTTGGACCGATTTGCATAATTTTTTGTACAAACGTTCGTCATACCCCAAGTTAGGTTTTTAAAGAAAAAAATATTGACCACGCCTCCTTTTACGCCCACTATTACGATTTATCTAAAATCTTTATATTTGCCAAAATA